TTACCTTTTGAAACTATGTTACAAAATAATCTCGAGTTAAGAGAAAATAATCTTTAACTGTTCGTCAGTAAAGTTCAAAATTATTCAGATCAAAGTTGTTTGACAATTTAACTTGTCAAGAAGATTATTATGATTGATAAACTAAAACCTACTTGTTGGTTCAACCTGCCATTATCTATTAAATTAAAAAAAACTACATTTTGTGACATTGCACTGATGGGATAGAAAAATAAACAAGCAAAACCTTATTCGTTAGCAAACGTCATATTTATTTAAATGTTAGCAGCAATGTTTCTTGCACGGTTATGTTGGCAGGTTTGACTCTTACAGTACCTAGTGCAAGCGAAAACCGACACTAAGGTGACGAACCTTTTCATTCCGCGACTGTACATAATAATAGGACTAATGTTCCGCAATATAAACAGGAATAATACAGTCAATTTATAGTTCGTTTCATCCACGACGACGCGGCGCGCCACAACAATTTTTGGTCGAGGGAAGCGCGGGGTGCGTGGAGTTTGATCCGAGCAATCCGAGCGTCATTATTGTAGTGTGCGTGTGCACTCATGGATGATTTAGCGTATACCGATAGCACTCACACATTAGCGGAAGAATGGTGGGGTGCGTCTTCGTGAATGAAACGATCTATATTCTTAAAATCCCGACTCAGAGATGTGATAAGAAATAAGAAAACATGAGATTGGCTCCACTAATGTGGATCCCACAGGGTGTTAAGGTATGGATTCATTAAAAACTCAAACAGAGAATTGAGCTCACTATTCCGAATAACGTACTTATCGATCGTTGTCTGTAATCTCGAAAAGAAAAATAAACTTTTAATCAGAATTCATAGAAATCATCTATGCATATATTATGTGAATTTTATAAAGGGAAGGTTTTTAATGGACCAAACCAGAGCAAATCGTCGTACTTATCATCTTAAGTTTTAATTTATTTACAAATTATGAAAATAAACAGATATTTTTACAACAAACGTAACCTTAACAAAGAAAAAAGTTGAAAGAACATCGACATTAAATAATTTATGATTTCAACTAAGCAGCATGTTCTGAATTAGCTGTTAAAGTTTTTGCCAATAGATACCTTGATGCCTTCCTGTAGAACAATGATTAAAAATGAAATGACAACTTTAAACCTGTCTTAGAAGTACTCTACAGTACTAATCAATTAATAGTTAAACAACAAATTAGTTTCTTTGTATTATGTCTATTTAATTATTAGAGCGGGAACTTATCTATGCGCCTACTAGGCTGGCTCCTATAGATATATTTTATAACAACGGTAGACTGAAATAAATAATTTTTTGTTTAGATTTTTGAACAACAAAATACGAGGAATATTAGCAGGTGTGTGCGCTAAGCAGGTAAAGCAGGGATTGGGTAGAATACAGGGTTTCTGGATTCACGTGATAAAAAAGGCAGTGTCTTCATTCAAGACAAAAGCCTATGCGTATTACCCGTACGTAACCATTATGTCCAAGGATGTTTGAGACTACATGGCGTCTCAGTATATTTTAAAATAAGGGAAACTAGGTGTAACGTTTTGTAAAAAGCAATTTTGGAGATAATGTTCACATGCAATAAAGACTTTAGATTTTAGAAGTCTGCAATGCAAGAAAAAGAGCTGAAAGCTTTTTATGACACTAATCGATATTGTTATTGATAGGCATCAAGATTCTATTGGACTAACTGAGAATTGAGTACTAAAGCTTGTATTCTAACCTATGGCCAAAATTCAATTCAAACTAGGTAGCATTGATTAGAAGCTGCCAGCTGCATAACTACTGCCTTCAAACAGCGGCTATCTGACGGGAGTGCAGATTTATAACGAAAAGTTAGTTCAGTCGTTCGTAAACGTGTATCTAAAAATAAATATGATCCCGTGCTACCGAGTTTTAAATTCAGAATACACGGGTTGAGATTTCAGTTGCCACACCACAAGATCCTCACGCTTTCACGCTAAAATTCCAGGTGTGCCAAACTTTAGTCTAAAAGGTCATACCACTAAAAACCTATAGGCACGCCCGTATTCACATGGTCTCACAGTGCGCGTGGACGCAGAGGGTCACACACGAACTAATTACAGAACTCTATTCAACGCTGTGCGTTTGATTTTCTGCTACACTTAAGCAAGTATCGTTTGTGAATATGGGTTAGTATCTGCTCTGAGCTCTGCGACTTGAAACTTGCACCGTCAGAAAACGTAGCATTTATATTAAAGAAGATTATGATTACCGGCAACACACGGCACGGCACGCTCAGCATCGGTATGATCCATAGGCACATTAGTTTACCAATTTATTTCGCCCTTGTCGAATTTCGAGTTCAATTTCAATTCCTGATTTAAGACTAAAGCTATTGCAATTTATCCTCTTAACTTTCTTTTTAAGCTTTTATGTATTTCGAAGTATAGTATTATTGATAAGCATCTAACCAGTAGCCTTATTCACGTAACAAAACTTCAACGACAACAAATCGCTGAGTTGCGATCCTATCGAGTAATCATTCTATCGAAATAACCCTTGTGAATACGGATTTAGAATTTTTTTCAATAGGACAACTTCTAAACGAGAACGGGATTTTGACTGTGTCATAATACGTGAATTAAGCCACAGATCGCAAGTTACATACCTAGTTTGATTATTATTTTCTTGAGACACGTCTCTCGCTATTATTATTAGTAAATTAATAATGATTAAATCCTCATTATACCTTTTGTAAATATATCAAAAACAGGCTTTTACAAAATATATAGAAACATATAAAAAGAAAGCATTCATGGAATCATTAAAACAGCTATAGCAGTCAGTTTACAATTATCTTGTTATGGGAAATAAAACTTATTTCATGAGCGCCTCCCACAAAACAAAATAAAACAAATGGAAGTCTTCAAAATAACATGCAAAAAGGGAAAATACGATAAAGAGTAAAATTAATACACCTGTATAAATAATAAAAATAACACTTAGCACTATTTGCATGTAAGATAGCACCAAACAAGTCATAGTGAATACTCTAAAAAAAAAAAGTTTACTAACACAAAGCTTTGGCTTCTTAACATAGTTTATTTTGACTAGAATTGTAAGCTCACTAGATCTTTTCTTAAGATATTGCAAATTATTTTTTTTATTCGTAATTTAATTTAAAGCTTTCATCATATTATTACAAAAAATAGAGCTAATCATAACGTGCCTACTTATCTTCCCATTTAGGGCCTCCGCTAAAGCCCGTGGCGGGCACCCGCGGCTTGCGCCCGCTCACCGCCGCGCTTGTGCAAACACGTCACACGCATGCGCTCCTCAACTTTTCTCCGATACAGGCCCGCTTGCGGGCGCCCGCACAAGTTTTAGCGAAGACCCAGATGTGAAAATCACCCTTAAGTTTTAACGTAATCAATCAATTTTGTAATAAAGCTGGTACATTTTTACATAATATGCCTGGATTTATATTACCCTACGAAAACCAGAATTAACAATCAAGCAATATTAACCCATTCAGTGCCGAAAAAATTCGGCTTACTTATTATCCACCGTCGATGGGCGGACTCGGCATGTGAGTAGACAATAGACATTTTTCCCGCTCATGGGCGGGCTCGGCAGTAAATGAGTTAACGACGTATATGATAGACTTTTTATAATTAAACACATAATGTTATCTTCATAGAACATTTCGCATTAAAATAAAACTTAAAACATTTTAATGAGGGCTATTATAATTATAATTTACGGTGGTAAACCCTATCGAGTTCTATCGCTTTGCACTCACTAGTTGGCGTCAATATGGGCTAGAACTATGGGTCGCGACCCAGTGGTGGGTCGCTAGCGAACACTAATGCTGGATTTCTATATTCAATCCTAATCCAAATTATAATATGTTTATGGCCAAAAATAACTGCGGTTTTTGATGTTTTTACATTTTTATATTGTTTATAAGACTATTTAAACAATATTAAAGTGTAAATGCATCGACTTGACAATTCAATTTGACAGTTGTAATCCGGATTTGGACAAGGATTGAATATGGGAATCGGGCGTAAGTGGGCCCGCCCTGCCTGTAGAAAGACCTTTATTTCAGGTATATTGGTAATGACCTATAGGTTTTCCTTTTCTATAGGTGGGTCCCGAGTTTAGGAACTTGTATTAGATGAGTTGTAGCCCAGACTTTGGGAACCACTGGGCTAGAGGAACTTACTTGCCGCTGGTGCCACCTAGTGACCGCAAATACGAGTCTCATCTAGTGATTTAACGGTCGATGTAACTCGGCTTGTATACAGGGTGTGCTTTTGTAAAACAACGCCCATCTCAGGGGTGGTAGGATACACGCCTGTAAGTATTATGCCCGTTTTCACCATCAATCCCTAATTTTTAAGTGATCCCTATGGTAACACATAACAGGAACTTTGTTTAATAGGAGTTACTTAAAAATTAGGGATCGATGGTGAAAACGGGCATTAGGAGTACAATTATCTTTATTGTTACAGACCTTAGATACTATTATAAATGCAATAATACTCAACCACTGTGTCATATAGAGAATTCAAGAATAGATATTATGACATTACTATACAGACATTAACAATTATGACTTATCGTAATAAAGCGTAAATAAATACTTAACACACATTTATACTTATATTTCATATGTTCACATACATAAAACGAATATAACAGGCATGATGAAGTAGATGCTCGGCGAGAAAAATAGCTGTAGGTTCTTTTACATACTTACCACGTCGAACGTAATAAACGTGCGATTTATCACTTTTTGTGCAACAACGTTATAAAATAATACAAAAAAAACAACATATCTAAAGCTAATAAAACATCAACACAAAATTGGATCTGCGTCCGTACGCAGTATAGACACTTTGACCGCAATTTCAATCCGTTAGGCATGTATTTAACGTCAATGATCGAACGCATTTTCAGAGTCGACGATAAAGGGTGCACGGAGACACTAGTTACAGTTTTACAATCGTACCTGGATCCGTAAGGCGGCTCAACACTACGAGGAGGCGGCGACAACATTTCGTCGTATACTCCAGCGTACCTGGGAACAATTACATTTTACAATTAATTTGAGGTCACTAATTATTTCATCACGTGGGTTGACGAAACTGCGCTCACAAACTTAGTATAAGACTTTGTGAATGTAATGTGTCAATGTGTCATTAGAGTATGCAAATGCATTAACGCTATAGCTAAAAGCCGACCGCAACACGCAATCATGTTTCTTTCACAATTTGGTAGATTCAAGTCTGAAATATCGTAACTATAGTTCATTCAACTTATGATGGTGATTTAGACAGATAAAACGTTTCGTTTTATGATTCTAACTTTCTACGAATAAAAATATTGAGTTGTAAAAATCAATTACTTTTGTGTGTTTTCTTCCTTCCAAAATATCAATTACTAATCTTTCTCAATTGACCTAAACAAGAATTTCTAATTATTTATTAGTTTATTATTTAGAAAAAATTGTGAAAAAATATTAAATGAATTGCTTCTGCGTTAGTCGGAACTTTTGCTCATAGGGATGGGACATAAACAATCGCAATAAATCAGTAATCGGCATGGTGGTCATCTTACCATCGAATCACGATTATTATCTCAGGCAGGTCAAAGCTAAGTCAGTACGTGTGCGTTTGCCTTTGATGACGGTTTTGTTTTATGCGATTTCTCCACGTATTGTTTGTTATTGTTATTTTGATGTTTTATTGAATAAAATGCATATATTTAATTCTTTGTGATTTATTTTGTACCACTAAGAATATTCACGTTTATTCCATTTCCAGATAGTTCAAATTCATAGATATAATTTTGATCAAGATTAAAAATCAAACAAATAAAAGGCGATTAGATTTCTATAGAAAATATTCTCGATTCTAAAAAATATCGATTAGGTTTATAAGGAGCGCCTCACTAAATAGAACTGTCATAATCACCATCTTACGCTGAATGGACTATAAAATATGGCATATACCTACGTATTTATGCCCTATCAAGTATAATCTGAGTGTCAAAATCAGACCTTCCTGGACAGATTAATAAATGAATACATAATTTAAGTTTTATATAAATAAGCTTAGCTGGTACTTGGCAGCACTTTCATGATATTGCAAATTTTTTTGCGAACAATACAATTCCATATCCGACAGACTATGACTGATGCCGTCGATAACTCAATTATCTAGGCTATTAGCGTTAGCCAATTTGATTTCATCACGAAAAAATATTTTATCATAATTTGGAACACATGCCCTGAAGAATGCACGACATGAATTTTGGAATGTTTAATAATATTATCGGTATCTGATGAGATTGAGATAAAAGTTATGTAGACTTTGTTCTAATACATACTTAATGAATCATATAGATGAAGAAGTAAAAAAGCCCTCGTATTCTAATAGTATCTTTGATCTAAACTACACAAAGACCGTAAGATACCACACCAGGGCATTTCAAAATACAACAATAAAAACATAATGGCGAGTAAAACAGGTTAATCTTATCCATCGCAGCTTCTATTGGCGCGGACGTAACGTAGGTACATGAGTAATAATACATATTATTTTCAGGTCTTTACCAAGTAATGGCTTGGCTTGGCTTTGTCTCTATGTTGATTACAAATTGTTAGCAACATACCGATGCGGTGACAGTCGTGGCGGAGGCGAGCGTAGCGCCGAGCGCCTCGGCGAGCGGTGTAGCGGCGAGCGGTGCGGCGAGCGAGGCGGCGTGCGCGGAGGCGAGCGCGGCAACGAGCGCGGCGGCGGCGAGCGCGGCAGCGAGCGCGGCCCGGGCGAGCGCAGCGGCGAGCGGTATCGCAGCGGCGAGCGGTGACGCCGCCGAGGGGAGGGAGACCTGTGCAAAATCAAACCATTCTATTAGCAAGGTTTATTTTCATGTACAGTGCGAGGCGTAAATTATTTTGATAATTTAAAAATAATATAAGATTGTTTAAAATTTGACTTTAAATTAAATAAAATCATTTATTTGCATTACAGGCTGTTTGAACATTTCCACACTAAGCTGATGCATGCAGGTCCCCAGTTGCTGCTTTCAGTCGTTAGATGTGATCATATGTGTCGATAGATTAATGATCATAGTTGGCATCGGAAAGCTCGCGCCTGTCACACCTTTTTTGTTTTTGCATCGTTCACATCAGAGCAACTACGCAATTTAATGTATTTCCTTTTAACAAGTAGTAAACCGTTTTGAAACACGAAACAGTGTCTTCTTCATCGAGTAGATATCTATAAAGAATCCCGAACATTTTTTGGTCTAACGACTGAAAGCAGCAACTGGGGACCTGCATGCATCAGCTTAGTGTGGAAATGTTCAAACACCGGCTTCTTTAGGCGCTTTGAATGATTTTATTTTTTAAACGTCCCTACGTCATGGTTATTGGCCATGAAGGGCTATATCTACGTATTTTTTTTATGTGAATGTTAGATTTAAGATTACAAAATATACTAAATAATTTGCAATCAATTTATTCTTACCGCGTCAATGACAAAGTTCTCTCGCGGGTCCGACGCCGCCGTGGTGACCAGGGCGACCTGCGCAGGCGACCACGAGACATGGACCGCGATCTGAAAAGATACAGCATATTTTATTTTTAAAGGATCATACAATTTTAAATGACCTACACCAAAACATGCTGACATAGAAATGAAACCAGCCGATACTTAAAGATGAGCTTGACGCAAAAATACTTAGCAGTATTGATATTATTTTTGAATGAAAAGACAATGCCGGAAATTGGCGTCTTTTTTTTTCGCGCGGCCATCGACCAAACCAATAAACCAAACTTACTATGACATGTATACCTCTAAACTCAGTCTGAACAGAGTTACGAGCATTAGAAGTTTGATGTTTTACATACTAAGATTTGCTTTTTGCGCGCAAGTTTTGTAAGAAATTGCAACAAAATAGTGACATCTTTTTTTAATGCGCTGATTCTGCTTCATACTGATAACTGGAGCCTATGATTGATGTTATTGTTTGTTTACACATACAAAGTCACTATTTTGTTGCAATTTCTTACAAAGCTTGCACGCAGAAAACAAATCTAGTATGTAAAATCATCAAACTTCTAATGCTCGTAACTCAGTTCAGACTGAGTTTAGAGGTATACATGTCATAGTAAGTTTGGTTTATTACACTATTTTGTTATAAAAAAAATAAGGTTTGGTCGATGGCCGCGCAAAAAAAAAAGACGCCACCTTCCATACAAAATCTGGCATTGCCATTTAAGCAAACGAGAACTACATATTTTAACGGACGGACAAACAAATAATTGCGATAAATAATAAACAAAATGTTATAAAATAATGATAACGGAACCATAATTACAAAACACTATCTAGTCCGACAGCGGTTTGTTACATCGAGTGTCATGGTAATGTGACGATACATCAAGCGAGTCGTGCGAAAGCGTTAAGAGTAACGAGCATGCGTAGCGAGCGTGGCTTGTCGTAACGAACCTAGAGTATCGGAGTCGACTGGAACCGCGGCTGCGCGGGCGGGCGCGCGGCGGCGGCGGCGAGCGCGGCGGCGAGCGCGGCGAGCGCGGCGAGCGGGACGGACGCGAGCGCACGGAGCGCGGCGAGCGCGAACGCGAGCGCGAGCCCGACTGCGCCCGGCGCCGCTCCTCCTCGCGCCGCTTCGCTCGCATCTCCTTCTCGCGAATCATCCGGTTGAACGCCTCGAGCGGGTCCTCGCCGTGCCTACGACAGTAAACGCGGCTCATTAACTGCGCGGCCGAGAAGGAACACGAACGAAGCGGGCAAGAGTGCGCCGAAACGGGGCAGCCGCATGTCGACCTAGCTGCTTGTCACAAACACTGGTAATGCTTACGACATGCAGACCGTTGTATGACAGAGTCGAGGCGCGGCTGTTGTGAAGGTGAGAAATAAATCACTTACCCGTTTGAAGGCGAATCTTTGATTCCGGGCGGAGGAGGCTGGTAGGGTTCGGGCGGCGGATAGCGATCGTTGAAAGGCATGGAGGGGCCGCGTGGTGGGCCATGTCTGTCGTACGGCGGACTAAAAAAAATTTACTTGTTAATAAAAATAAAATTTTATTCAAATTACCAGTTACCAGAATAAGTTAAATACTTACTTATTATAACGCCGTGATTGGGGTGGAGCACCGGGAATAAATTGAGGAGGCCCACGATTGTAGACAACCTAATGAAAACAATATTTCGTTAAATTTGTGTGCACAGCCAATTAAATTCTGTATTTATTTTAATGTTACATTGAAAGAAATAAATGGTAGTTATTTGTTTCCTATCACAACTATTTTTACCTGTGCCGACCCTATGTCTCTCCTCTCATCAATGGTCGGTGTGCTAGCTCTTTGTTCATCTATTCTCGGCATCTGCTGTTGGACAAACATAAATTAATTTTAAGACGTTATGTAAGTATATAAAATACAAGTATAATATCAGAAATGTAAGACTCACATTCAAAGGTATCATAGGAGGAGCTTCCAGACCCGGTGGCTTCACGTTATGTTGTGGCGGTCCTAAAACAAAAAAAAACGAATTAAATATGTATTGAAACATACACTACTATTATGCACATGCACGAAGTTTGCTCTCTCGCATTTTCATAATCGCGATGATTTTAACGTGCAAAATAATAGGAACTTAACATATTGCTTCAAACAAAAATACTATGTACGAGTATGAATAAATTACATTGTATACCATAGCAGTCTACAAAAGTACTGAACCAACAGCCAAAGTTAAACTATGTTATTATTATGTATAAACCTTGGACGAATAAACCACTGGACACGAAACCTACAAGATTTCTAAGGAAACACGATCAACCACTTTTTGCGGGGGGAGAGGTTTGACAATTGTCAAATAATGACATTTAGTGCTGGGAAAAGATCGTAAATTTTTATCGATAGTTATGTAAATGAATGAATGAATGAACCTAACGAGATAAATGAATTCTGGATTGATTTAATATTGAAAGTTTCTTTAATTGAAAGACTATAATTAATTATTGTATCGTGTTTATTATAATGCCATTGGTAAATCATAGGTACAAATAATATTACAAATTATTCATATAGGTACCTACCTATATGAATAATTTGTAATATTATTTGCCAAAAAATATTTCACCTAGTTACCTAACTAGGTGAAATATTTTTTGGCTGCGTTATCATTATCAAATTCGTAAAGCAATAAACAAGTAATATTCTGTTACGATCGACTGCTAACTAGCTTTTGGTCTCAACAAATGTTATAATCTGTCTCACGTCACGGACAAAAGTTTCATCAATAGCCTATTTCTATACATTTCATGAAACACAATTTGATAACATTATGACAATGTATTGCTTTGTAGCGCTTGCAGTACGGATGCACTATCTGAGAATATTTAATTCTTATCTAATGTTGTTGATATTCTTATGTTTAGGTCATTCGAGAAGACCTCCTAGTACTTATTTCAGTTTTGTAGACGTCGGTATATCCTAACTTCATTGATTCCAGAGCAATTTCGCGTTTCCGCTGTAAGCTGGATATTATCTTTGGTCGAAGATGTGTACACNGGACACGAAACCTACAAGATTTCTAAGGAAACACGATCAACCACTTTTTGCGGGGGGAGAGGTTTGACAATTGTCAAATAATGACATTTAGTGCTGGGAAAAGATCGTAAATTTTTATCGATAGTTATATGAATGAATGAATGAACCTAACGAGATAAATGAATTATGGATTGATTTAATATTGAAAGTTTCTTTAATTGAAAGACTATAATTAATTATTGTATCGTGTTTATTATAATGCCATTGGTAAATCATAGGTACAAATAATATTACAAATTATTCATATAGGTACCTACCTATATGAATAATTTGTAATATTATTTGCCAAAAAATATTTCACCTAGTTACCTAACTAGGTGAAATATTTTTTGGCTGCGTTATCATTATCAAATTCGTAAAGCAATAAACAAGTAATATTCTGTTACGATCGACTGCTAACTAGCTTTTGGTCTCAACAAATGTTATAATCTGTCTCACGTCACGGACAAAAGTTTCATCAATAGCCTATTTCTATACATTTCATGAAACACAATTTGATAACATTATGACAATGTATTGCTTTGTAGCGCTTGCAGTACGGATGCACTATCTGAGAATATTTAATTCTTATCTAATGTTGTTGATATTCTTATGTTTAGGTCATTCGAGAAGACCTCCTAGTACTTATTGTTATTTTAGTTATTTAATCTGTAACAAAATAAGTATTGTCTATTACCACCAGCGCCACCTGGTTGTTCATATAGAAAGCTATTTTGAATAAAAGTCAGTCGTTGCCACGCCATTACTGTGTTTTAATACTTATTTCAGTTTTGAAGACGTCGGTATATCCTAACTTCATTGATTCCAGAACAATTTCGCGTTTCCGCTGTAAGCTGGATATTATCTTTGGTCGAAGATGTGTACACACTACACAGGGTACCTATACTGTTGATGAGGGGTATTTCTTTTAGGGTTTTGTGCAGAATCGCGGAATGTCTTTCTCCTTGTTTTGCTTTCATAGATCGTTTCCTAGAATCTTTGTGCAGTTTTCTCTGTTTCGTAGAATTGGCATTGTAGCATTCTTCCGCAAAATGAATGCTACAAATGCAGTGGTTTTTAGTTGGAATCCACGTATTTTGTCTTCTGACTGCCTCTATCCACTTTCTCCTTCTATTTGGATCCACTGGAAATCTTAAATTAATTTGAATAATTTCAGTTTCAGTTTGTTTGGTATATCGATAAACTTATCGACATTTTTCAAGCCCTTTACGTCATAAAAAATGAGATGTGAATGAATGAATGAAACCTATATCCAACCAAATTAAATATGCTACATGTTTTAAGCATTTACATGTACAATGAGTACTTTATAAAATGACGTAATCATATTTTGTTTACATATCAAATTTTATTTATTTTACGAAAAAATAGCTACTATAATAGATTTAAAATGTACTTACGCGTGATAAGAAACATTTCTTGTGTGACAGGAATAACTTTTGCAATAAAGTACGGCGCATTTACCCATTTTTCGTGATATTTTTACTCTTCGAGAGCTGGCGTCATACTGACAAAGTGACAACCTGACAACATTTACCATGGCTAATTTAGCCATGGTAAGTGCTAGCGGGGTAAAGACGAAAACGTCACTCGTTACGCGTCCAGTGGTTTATTCGTCCAAGGTATAAACCCACCAATCCCACCACCAGAATTAAAACGTATCCAGGGTACGCAATAACATTGTATGTTGTGTGTTGTGTATTTAATACTTATTTGTTTTTGCAATACATACGCATATTTTACGTGCGAAAAAAGGCGCAATTAGTTTTGTTCTAAACGAAAATTAAAATATTCAAGTCAATTTGGTCAATATACTTTAAAAAAAGAAAAGGAATGCCGAAAAAAAAAATTAATTCATGAACAGAGTGGAGACAAGTAGTAAGTAAACTATATTAATTTATTTTAATGGTAATTTGAAGTTTCTATCCCGGTTATTGTGTCTATTTGCATATAAAAGTAACAACATAATTACTATTTTAGCTTAATGATCTAAAAATGAAAAAAAAATTGGACAACAAAACAGAACAAGCCGTGACGATAGTTATAACAGAAGCGTATCGTGATCATGCAAAATAGAACGTGCGCATGCGATGCGTATGCGGTATAGATCGTATCGCAGGAATGTTGTCCCTTTCCTCTAATCTAGTACTTGATAATAATTTTACTGTATTTGTTTCGTTACAAATTATTTGTTATGCTTATGTTTATAGAATTGTAAAAAATATATTTTCTGGAATTTTACAGTTCTAGTTACTAGAATCTAGTAGCTAGTAGACCAGTTAGCAACCTCTAGAGATAAATATTATCAAAGGGAAATCATTAAGAATTAAGTCATTAAAATTGGGATTTAGTCTTGTCCGGCTTAGTTGCAGTTTGAAAACACAATAGTTGACTTTCTGGTATTTGGAGGTAGTTTTAGAAAAAAATCGTCAGAAAACGACCAGGTTATTCATGTACTCAGGAACCTCAAGACTAAGGCCCAGTTTTTTGATTCATAGTTAAAATAACAAATTGTTAATTTTTGCTACTAATGGTTAAATATTAACAAAATGCTAACTAATAGTTAAAAAATGTACTAAAAGTCAAGCTAACCATTGTTCGAAAAACATTTTTTTCTGATATTTAACCACTTGTCATTTGACATCTGTCAAACTTGATCATTGGTTATTTTAACTACGAATCAAAAAACCGGGCCTTAGTCGAAGAGGTAAGGGACAACATCGCTGTTAGATCTGTAGTACCGTAGCGCGGCGCGTGGTGGGGCGCGTTGTGCGGCGCGTGGCGCGGCGCGTGGTGCGGCGCGCGCGCGGGCGGGCGCGGGCGCGGGCGCGCGAGCGTGCGCAGCGAGTGCGGGTGCGTGTGCGCGGGCGGCACCGTCACCGTGATGTTGTCGTCCGCCGAGCCGTCCGACTCCGAGCCGTCGCGGCCGAGCCCGCCCTCCGAGCCGTGGCTCGCGTCGCCGGTATCTATCGCACACTCTTTTTGAACCACCGGCCGAGCGTTGCGCGAACGGTTACCGCCCGACCACTGATCGGCGAGAGACGTCTCCCAGTTCTTCGGTGATTTCTAAACGTTTCCCGATTAAACCCACCGCCTGCGGCCGGTGAGTGGTCGGGCGGTTGTAGCTCACGGACTCAAAGCGGGTCAAAGTTTAAAAATGTACATCTTATTTGTTTTTATGTTATTTTATATTGTTTATCACAAAAATTTTTAGTGTGTCAACATTACGTTACGACAACGTCGTATTCATTTAAGTAAAACAAACCAGATACTGACCATTATTTGGCATAGCAGGCTGACCTCCGTTTGGTGGCTGCTGCATGGGAGCAGCAGGTGGTTCTGCAACAAGTACAATTATAGCTATAATCGTGCTGTTAAATGATAAAACCCACAGTTCATAGTTTATATTGGATCATAATAACACGTACCCATCATCGGAGGATGCGCCTGCATCGGTGGAGCTGACGGACGGTGAGGAGTCCTCCGGCTATAACCAGTTTGATTGCGGAAGGATGACACCGAATTTCTAAGAAACCTGAAATTTTATCATAATGGCACCATTTAGTAAATTCAACTAAAACAAAAATAATATAACAATACTAAAAAATTGTAAGATTAAAATTTGCACCTATTTGGAATGAGTGTAGTTGGGGCTATCTCCTTTTCACGACAATCAGGACATTCGTGATCTTCCGACTCCAACAATGCGCCCCTTATACCTTAAAAAAAAACGCACTATTAAACCATGTTAATGAATGAAACATCCATTTCGCCAGCTGATATATTTATTTTATAATTATAATATCTAACTATTAACTGAAATAATATGAGGAAATCATACATACATTCATCACAAAAAGAGTTTCCACAGCACGGTATCATAACAGCATCAGTTAGGAGATCTCTGCACAAACTGCAGATCAACTCATCGGGTATGTTGGGCTCCGGTGCTGCGGGAGCATTAGTAGGGGTATCTGCTCCACCAGCGTTTTCTGAAGCCAAGTATGCTTCACTAAAAGTAAACAAATTTATTATTATTCACACTCATAGAATAGACATTAATTTTATTTAGGTACTGTATAAACTTACCGATCAACAGCCGGCACAGCGTAAGTTCCACTTGGGGTCATCATAGCGCCTGGTGCCTTTGGGCCTTCAACTGGCACCATAAAACTCCGAGGTATTCCTGTGCTTCGTCTTACTTCTACAGGGTCAGCCTAAACACAAAAGGGATTTTGTTGGTCATAATAATAATTGTGTTACTGATGAATGATGATGAACTTTGTTAAAAAATATGAACTAATATATACATCTGAAATACTATAATCTACAGATATTTTTATACTCACTGAATTAGCAATAGGACAGTCTTTGATCCAATGTCCACGCTTTTGACACTTGTAACAAATATAGTTATTTGGCACAACACCTCTCTGATTTTGTCCTCTAATTTTTTGGTAGCTGGAAATAAATGAAACACTGTTACTAAACTTCTAAAAGTAATAAAAACCTTTATTGAGCTTAATTTCATGCAGCCAAGACTGAGGAAATATTGTTGATATTTGCAATGCTTCCTACGTTCGTTTTCAGTACAAATGTATGAATTGAAAAAACTTCCCATAATTTTTTGTTGACCCACACACCAATTATATTTATAAACAAATAATATTACTCTTACTTGCTAGGATCATAGTCAAAAGTAGATTGTGTTATCATAGCATTTATTTTATCCTGTTCGCTACCTTCCATGCGAGACAGATCAGCCAATCCCTTGTTAAGGGCAGCATCTTTGTGTTGTGTAGATGTATTACTGTTGGATCCTTCCCACTGCTTTTTAGGTTGTTGTGAAAGAGGAACCCTCGCAACGAGCAGAGATGTATTTTTCGGGATCAAAGTATTATCATCCACATAAACTAAAAAGAAAAATTCTCAATTAAAATTTCAGTCGACCTTGTATTAATCATGAACTACAGTGTGGCATCAATTATCCAAAAATTAATCAACAGATTGACTGCTTATCCTAACTACTTCCCTGAGATAAGCCATGTAATGCAAGGGATCAAATAGTTTACTGTTATTGTACCTAGTACATGTTTAATACAAGAATCACCTTTGGATAAATAAGTATAAACAAATAAATATCCTTGGACATTTTACACTGCGCCGCTAGCCCCAAACTAAGCAAAGCTTGTACTGGAAAACGGATATAAACATACTTAAATACTTTTTTTTTTGTAAACACATACTTAATATACATAGGTATGCCTGAATACACATCAGTTATCCAGAAAAAACAATTTTCTGAACACCCATGTCCACCAATTAGTTCAGATAATCGACGCTCTACTGTACTACTATAAAATACCACAGGATGGGGTAACTAAGTAGGTGCACTAGCTTATGACTTTTAACTTAATTAAGGTCAAATATTAAACCAAATTTATCATTTTCATTTGCATGTTTGCATTTTAATCCTTAACCTTCCAATACAGAATGTTTTTTTATGATATATTCATGTTCTATGTTCTACTGTTTTACATCAGGAACGGCCAAAGTTAAACTACATCATGTATAATGAAAATAAATTTCATACCTTCTTTCGTTTGCGCGTTAGTAATCTGCAAGTCAAAATCGGAAGTTTTTCCGATTCTTTTCTGTTGTGATATAGCAGCTTTTAGGTCTCCTACAGATATGTGAAGTCCGTCAAAAGTAACTGTATCATAATCCAATGCACTTTTGAACTTATAATGCACAGACATTTCCGACAGTAGATATGTGAATATCTCGTATCATTTAGCATGACACTTAGCCGAAATTGATCTAAAGTTATTTATTACCACATCCGAAATAGCATTAATTTCGGTAAAAGAAATGGCACCAGACGAACTGACTTCGTTAATTAAAGGTTATGAAAAGAACAACCACGCACAATACACTAGTACACAATAATTCACTTTAGCTAACTAAAAATTAGTCTAGAAATACCACGGTGGCACGTCTACACGAATAGCAGCGTCAATGAAAACTAACACGATAAAGTCTGCCACAACGCAAGTAAAATAACGCAGACCGCCATCTTCCTTCTCTTAACAATAGTGATGTACCGTCGTCCGATCGTCCGCAGATAGAAAGAGAGAGAGTTTAGTCTATGACCAACTAATCGATTAAATCAATTGAAATAGTATAAACTCGAGAATAGATATACACCTTTAGTATTTTAATTCAAATATAAAATTTCAAATTCATTGCGTATTTTTGAAATGTGTAATGAGGTAAAAAGTGGATATCATTTCCACTAAAAGCGCGTCGGTTACCAAGATTTTCCTGACATGGCAACTCTGAAATTGTAGCCGGAAGTTTTAAGTCAAATTTAGCACTTTTACATGTAGAAATTGGTTTTAAACAACATTTTCGAAACTAAGCATTATGCAAATAAAGTATTTTATTTTCAAATAGATTTAATTCATTTGCAAACTGTTTTAAAATAACATATCAAATAAAAGAAACTGAATTTGTTTGATTAGACATATTTGGCAAATTGCCATGAACTTCCGGTTTAAGATAAAGACACACGCGGATCTATCGTGAAAAGAACGCGAATAATTATAAAATTAACGGGGATAGGGAAACCAATTAACTAATTTTACATTGTCAGTTTACAATAATGTCCAATAACGGTGCTCCGGACTCTTGGGAAAGTCAAGCGGATGTTATAGGTGAACAAGGTGCAAAAGATTCCAATGATGTGTCTACTAAATTTTCCACGTTGAACGTCAACGCCGTGGAGTTCGTGCCTTCTTTTTGTAAGCCTTCTCAGGCTAACGACGATACGGATTCTCCTTCTTCACCACAAAAATCTGATAGTGGTTCTACTAATTCTTCTGGGAGTCCCGTGTTGAATGGTGAGTACTCTTGTCACTAACTGCTCTAAAGCTCTATTTCTCTAAATTTTGTTTAAAATTATGAGTATATTTTTGCTGTGTAATTCATTTAAAAGTTACGAACATTCGCCGACTACATAACAATAGGTTCGATGACTTTATTTTTTTTCCGAATCCAGTTCTAACGGGTTATGTCGAGACACGCGGCCCGCTACACTATACATAGATACTTCTCATTAATGGCTCTAACTTTCTCTACATGCACTCTCTTTAGAAGCTTAAGCTCTCAGTGTAATTCCGAAAAATATACAAAATGAAAGGTTAGTAGTTAATTTAATTGTTATTTATTTATCTACAACCTTTATTTAACTTTGTTGATGTGGATTGTTCTACTTTTTTGAAAGTTAAACTTTAGTGTTATTTATAGTAATTAACAAATGTTAGTGGTATTTTAGGTGCTAACCTATTTACTTATGTATGTTTTGCATTACAAAACAAGGTTTCTCCTAAATTAAATTTGCATTTTTGCATTTTCAAAAAAAAGTTAGGTTATGAATTTATTTGGCCTCACATAACTTCAAATATTTGATTTTAAATGTGTATTTAATGCTTTCTTACTTATTGATATGAATGCAATAAGTTCTGTCAAACATAGTCATGACTCAAATGTTTTTGCCACTAACAAATTGCTCATAATGTCTTTGTTGAGTACACAGTAAAAATATACATAAATTTATGAAATATTTTCCTTTCTTGTACACAAGAAACTTGTTAGAGAATGGGTTTTTGACATTTGTACTCAGTTTTTACCTTTTACTTTTTGTTGAAGTCATCTAGTGTCAAAATATCTGCTTGTATTAACACAGTCTAACGTCTGTGATTGAAATAATCAGGATGCGGAGATGGTGGCGGAGAGAGTGGAGACGGAGGAGCTGCCTCGGCCTCCCCGCGCGTGGAAGAGCCTCCGCCCGTGCCACCCGCCGCGCCCGCCGCCGCGACCGCCGCCGCGGCGCTGCCCATCCCTGCCGACGTTTCACCCACTGCTGATAGCTGGGAAGCAGAAGCTGATGACCCACTCCTTACGCCCGAAGACAACAATGAACCTGATGAAGAAGAATTAGAGCAACAGGTTCAAAACCCTGTAATTGCATGTCCCACTGTTGGCTGTCCCTGACGTTCCATCCATCGTCTCAGCGCGTAAATGTCCGCTGCAGAACACGGCTCCCCACCCCATTGAACTCCAGTGGGAACCATCCGTAGCAGTCTGCATCAATTACTATTAGTTTTCATTTGTTTTTATGTTATGAAGTGTATACTGTGATATGGTTTAGGAAAGACATTTCCTTCACTTGACACACTATATGACATAGCATGTTTAATATTCATCATAACATTGTTTTATTGTCAATGATAACACCTCATTGATAATTTTGGTTATTCTAATTTGTGTTTAGCTATTTGAAATAACAGTTTGCAGTTTTCATCCTTAGAACCACATCCATACATTTAACTAATATAATTTTATTAACTATGTGACTACTCTTTTTGTATAGTTTAATATAAAGGTTGTTGTTTATTATTGTGTAATAAGTAAACTTTGCACTAATAAAATTTTGCTTGCTAATTTTTTGCACTTACATACATTCCACAATCATTTAATACTTTTTGTACATTTATTTCTTCTTTCTTAGATGGCAATTAGTCAGCTTAATCACACAGTTTTATATTAGTTAATGATATAAGACATTTAAAATTATGTACTAGTTTTGCTGGTCATTTAACTAGTTAATGCTAAGATCAATTCACCATTAGACTTTCATTAGTGATTTTGATTCGTCAAAATTGCGAAAAAAATATTGTTCAAGTTAGGAATGCAGGGAAGTCATTCCTATCTTGTACCAAAATCAAATCTTACATGGTCTACAGGCACAAGAATATAAGGCCATGTTGGGCTGTTTGTTGATTGATGATGTTTTATTAAACTTTCTTAATTAACATTTCAGGAGGATGGCGAAACTACGAAAAAAATCCCCAAGAAAAAGCCACCGCGAGTTGAAGATACAAGGAGCAAAAAAGAACATGTTAATGTTGTATTCATTGGACACGTAGGCAAGTAGTGATTTTTGCATTTAATATATTTTGTAAAGTATCTACCATTTAAATTTAAATTATAGCCTATAACAAACAATGTCTTTATATTTTTAGATGCGGGTAAATCTACGATTGGAGGGCAAATTATGTCATTGACTGGCATGGTGGACAAACGAACACTAGAAAAGTATGAAAGAGAAGCACGAGAGAAATCAAGAGAATCCTGGTACTTGTCTTGGGCACTTGACACTAACCAAGAAGGTATGTAAATACATATGTCAATATTTTTAAATATTTATTATGGTTTATTGTCAATATTGATGTAACTTATATGTTATGGAAATCTTTGGGGGAGGCCTTTGTCCAGTACTACTGGACCAGTAGTACTGATGTAACATTTTAAAAAATCTTCAGAACGTGACAAGGGGAAAACTGTGGAAGTGGGGAGAGCCTATTTCGAGACTGAAAAGAAGCATTTTACAATTCTTGATGCCCCTGGGCACAAGAGTTTTGTACCAAACATGATTGGCGGTGCAGCGCAAGCAGATCTGGCAGTACTGGTATGTGAATAATAATTATATCTTTTTAGCTTGTTTTGTTCTTATTTTATACCTGTTAATTATTAGCATTTGTTTAATGTGTATGTTATATTTTATAGGTAATATCTGCACGTAAAGGAGAATTTGAAACCGGTTTTGACAGAGGGGGACAAACGAGAGAGCATGCAATGTTAGCAAAAACCGCAGGTGTCAAACATTTAGTTGCACTAGTCAACAAGATGGATGACCCAACCGTAAATTGGGATGAGAAAAGGTAACTTTTTTATCATATTATGCAAACAAGCACATGATAAAACTACATGTATTATTAATCATTATATAAGAAGTATGTTGTTAGTGTTGTTACCAAGTAGAATTTACATAAACATATTTCGTATTATCGCTCGGCTCACGGCTTACATGTTTTTCGATTTGTCACATTACTGAGTCAAACCTACACATCGAATTGGTATTCTTATGTCAGCAAGCAATACTACTACTACTTACTCATATCCTGTTATAAATGTGCCACATAGTTAAAACATTTTTTTAATGTTTTATATTTTATTTTATCAGATACAATGAATGTCGAGACAAGATCCTGCCATACCTTAAAAAGCTGGGCTTTAATACAGCTAAAGATCTCTCCTTCCTGCCTGTGTCAGGACAAACTGGACAAGGATTATTGGAAAGGGTAAGCATTTTAGTGGAAATTTTTAACTTTGTTGTAATTGTGTATTCTTTTTATAGTGTTAAAATAACAGTTTTGTATAACATTTTTATTTATTTATTTAGGTGACTGAAGAGATATGTCCATGGTACCGAGGACCTTCCTTCATTCAGTTGATTGATGAATTGCCTTCACTTAACCGTAAAATGGATGGGCCATTCATCATGCCAGTGGTCGATAAGTACAAGGACATGGGCACAGTCCTGATGGGAAAAGTTGAAGCAGGAACCACACGCAAAGGCAGTACTCTGTTCCTCATGCCAAACAGGGTAAAATAATAATTTTAATAGTTTTACTCAGTTAAATACTACAAAATTATGTTTATTATATACTTTATATGGTAACTTTTCAGGTCCAAGTAACTGTTGACCAGCTTTGGTCCGATGACATTGAGGTAACATCCATCGGTCCTGGTGAAAATGTTAAAGTCAAACTCAAAGGAATTGAGGAAGAAGATGTGTCTCCCGGTTTTGTCCTCTGTGATATTGCAGAACCTATTACAACTGGAAGAGTAAGTATATTGAATGCGATAATTTTTATTTAAAATGTTGATGTAAAGTAAATAGTACATATTTACATTAACATTTTAAATTAATAAAATTGAGCTTGATTGTGAGTAAACACCTGCGGGACAATTTAACTAAAAGGCTAACCTATTGTTCTTTCTTTTTACAGTGCTTTGATGCTCAAGTTGTTATATTGGAGCATAAATCCATTATATGTGCTGGCTACTCAGCTGTGATGCACATACATTGTGCTGCTGAAGAAGTTACAGTCAAGGTAATAATGCGATTAGTATCCATAGTTCATGTTCACTATCATCTTCAAATCAGTAGCCCAACATACTGAGGTATGGG